GTCAACAACACTTATCGATAGGAAATGTTTTATTGAAATCTGTTGTCTTTTTTAAATACCGCTATTTTTTAGAATTCCTCCTTCTACTCGTGGAAGTGATTTACATACATAAATTGCACTCTTTATCTGGATAAATCTATACACATGTAAACAACATTGAAGTGTCTGTCTATAATATTGACAAATCGCTCAGATTTGCATACTATTAAGACATAAATTACTACATTTTAATTTTTTATCTGTCTGCCCGAGTTTCGAATGTACCAGGAGGGATCTAGTCTATACTTTATCTGGAAAACTTAAAAATAATTTAAAAAAAGAACTTTTTTATCTAAAGAACGCCAAATTAATAAAACCCATCTCGGCGAAGTCGGGCGGATCGATAGTTACGGTATATATATAAAGTAAAGTAAAGTTACAGTATATACGTCCCACTGCTGGGCACAGGCCTCCCCTCATTTCTGAGAGGGTTTAGGGCAAGGAAGTGTCCGCCGCGCTGCCCAAATGCGTGTTGACGAACTTCACATGTCTTCGAAATATTTTTTTTCTTATTCCTCAGACATGCAGGTTTCCTCACGATGTTTTCCTTCACCGCCGAGCACGTGGTAAATCAGCACTTAAAATTGCAATTAACAATTTCATTGGTGCTGGCGGGGATCGAACCCGGGTTACTCGCGTTCTGTTATATTTACAGCGAGCGTTAACCACTGAGCTACCACGGCTGTATATGTGTATATATATATATATATATATATAATGATTATCCTCTTGTATGTATCATCTTTTATACATAGCAAGGATAACCTATAACGAGATATACTCCTATCCTTTAATGGATTTTGGGATTTTTTTTATAATGATAACATTCTTAAATAAACGGCATAATTAAATTTTTGTCACGTATTAACCTCGTATTGATGTTTCAATGCTTCCTTTCGTACAGTTGCGAGTCTTTTGTTTTATAATCTGAGTATTATAAAACAAAAGACTCTAACAGACTCTAACGACAAAAAAGACAGAGTATTTTTCCGTGCTCCATCTGCCTTTTGTTTTATAATCTGAGAGCAAGACTTACCAAGTTTCTTCCAGTATGACCGCAATCGGCCAACAATAACATCTATACGGCCATCGAACTCCTCGCGACTGAGAACTTGTTTAATTAGTTTGGAATCATTTACAATTACTGTAGGAATCGATCCCAAGAAGAGTCCTAGAATATTTGATTTGTATTCTTCAGAAATCTTGATGCAAGCGGCTGCCAAGTTGTTGTACGATTTAGCCAGAATAATCCAATACGCGCCATATATTGGGAGACTCGGTGGACCTACGGTTTAGCGGAAAAATTTGTTAATAAATTTCGGATTGGCAAGCATTAATTAAATCAATTCTTTAATATACCCCACACACACACACACACACACACACACACACACATACGCACACACACACACGTGGACGCGCACGCGCCCGCGCACACGCACACGCACACGCACACGCACACGCACACGTACACGCACACGCACACGGACACGCACACGCACACGCACACGCACACGCACACGCGCACGCGCACGCGCACGCACACGCACGCACACGCGCACGCGGAAGCAACGCGCACACGCACACGCCACGCACACACACGCGCACGCGCACGCACACGCGCACGCACACGCGCATGCGGATGCGCACGGGCACGCGTACGCGCACGCGCACGCGCACTCTCACGCACACGCAAACTCATACGCGCAGCGCGCGCGCCACGCCCACGCCCACGCCCACGCCCACGCCCACGTCCGCGCACGCGCACGCGCACGCATACGCACACGCACACGCACACGCATACACACACACACACACACACACACACAAAGAAGTTCTGAAGTCGGGGCTTTAATACTCTATACACTGTGTCTTAGCACTAACTTCTGAAGCTATTATTTGGGAATCATCATCATTTTATTGTTTTTAGTTATTTAAAGTGGCCTTTTTCTTTATTATTAATTTTTCTTTTAAGTCTAATTGTTCTTAGACCACAACAACGACTACAACAATAATAGTAACTTATCTTTTACTGATGCAGTGGACAGTTTTATTCATTGACTTGGCATGACATTACAAGTGCGAGATACGATCCAGCGGGGTATATTGTAAATGTTTTAAATTAATTTCACATCTTTAGGTGGATCCTTTTTTGCCTAAGAATCCATCTTAGGCAAATTCTTATTTCTGCTGTCTTAACAGTTGTGCTTGCCCTAACTGTGTTTCGATATGAGGGATATAGAGAGACAGTAAAATAAAATTTAAGGCATTTCAACTTAGTTATAGGAGGTGACACCGCATCAGTAGCCTTCTTCGAAGTTAGTAGCAGGTTTCCCTGGTCTGCAGCAACCACTTACTTCAAGCGGACTGTAAGTTTGTTGGTCATTTCAGTTTAAAACGTCATTTTATGACCTGGAAGTCTTTATCGCAGACTTAATTTTCGGCGAAATTTTAATTAGCTTTCTATTTTATTTAAGTAATACATTTTTAATGAAACAATCTAGTACTTAGTTACATTTCATTAGAGTTTCTTGATGGTTAAAAAAACTGAACCAAAAAGGGTTCAATGTGGAGATGATCTACAGATCGGGGGTGGTTATTGCAATTGTAAATAAAAACCTACTTAAGTTATAGTTATCATGCAAGCTGTGTTTACTAATACGTAGTCCCTACTAAGTATAGGGACTACGTATTACTTAAGAAAATTTTCTGTTATTTAAGATTGTTATTGTGTAAGTTGACTGTTAGTAAGCCACAAAATAAAAAAGTATTGTCGTGTTAGTGGACTAGCGAAATTATATCACTAGAAACTTAAAGATATGATTTCAAGTAGGTGCTAACAAAGTGTATATAGTAAGCATGATGGAGTAATTCCAATTGAATTAGCTAAAACGGATGCAAACGATACTAGTAATAAATTCATTGAAATTAGCATTCCCCAAAATTGTAAATGAATGAGCAAAAGACTTTATAGCAAACTAGCTGTGTCGGGACACAGCTATTTTACTTGCGCATAATTTAAGAAATAACTAGTTGCTTTATAATACTTCAGTATTGACAATATTTTTAGTAACATTTTCATGTGGTATTAAAATATATTGCTTCTTTTGGTTCTTATCGAACGGTTACACGTCGTTCGCGCACCGTGCTTAGTTTTGAATTATTTTAATGTTTCATTATCTCTTAAAATATGTGTCTAACTAACTTGCTATATAATGCAAAGCTTATTTTCATAAGATTGTCTTTATCGATTGTAATTGTGACAAAATTCAAAGATCATTAACGACCCGGTTTCTGGATATAATGATAGATGAAAGACTCGCATTCGCAGCTCACAATGAAACTTCAAGTACACGGAGTTCCTCTCGTCTGTGAGGCGACCGGATCCCGGTTAGTGACAGAATATGCGCGTCTGTGAAGCGACAGGGAGCCGGATCCAATAAGTAGTCCTTCGTCTTGCTTATATTAAGGGTTTTCGCATATATCTTTCTCTTTTTAACTCATTACGAAAGCATAATGCTTAAACATGTTAACCTTCTATCAACAATACCAACTAGATGTCGGGTCGGCGCAAGAAATCCATCTAAGTAAATAACAGCGCACATGAGACGTGAGCTCTTGTTTTGTTTCGTTTAGTTCACTTGAAACACAGCCAATGTAAACACGTTTCACAATGCCGCAATGTGTATTTAAAAGTTGCAAGAATAATGCCCGAAAAAGTAATTTAACGGCCAGAGTGTCTTACTTTCGGTAATTACATGTATAATATGTTATATTTTAAGCTCTAAACTAACAAATAATATCATATTTTAAACAAAATTACCGATCAAAACCGCCCCTACAAATGTTTTGCCAATGTTGACCAATACACGCGCAAACATTTGTGAAACAGAACATGGACGCATGAAGTAGATTTGTATTGTAATAATTTTTAATATTTCGTTAGCAAAACTTTAAAATAATTTTTTTTTAAATAAACTTTAAAATGGTAATTGCTACTTTTGTCTTTGTTTATGTAATTCCAATAGATACTTAGATTTTTTTAGCTTTCCTAGCTTTCTTCTCCGGTCGAGCCGACCCATTAGTGATACAACTATACTACTAATATAATTGCAGCATGGCTTCACCACGTTTTAAACAAGACTTTTAGACAACCAATAAATGGACAGGATTACATGAAGATGACAGGAGTAGGGCAAATTGGTGTGATAAAAAGAATACACATATTTATATATATACTATTCATAGATACATACATACTACGAACATATATACATACAAAAACTAAAATAGATATATATTGAATTAGTTAATTAAATGCAATCAATATACAATATTATATTTAATGGCTCGTGTGGAAAGTATGTATACCAACAATCATAAATGCCCAAAACATAAAAATAATTTTTATTAAACTTATGATCATATTATAAATTATTTTAGTGTTAAACGCGACTCAATACTTCCTGGACCAAATTCGAAGAAGAATAACGGGTAAAAGAACTTTATTTGTTACACGTTAAGGTTGATTTCATACCAAAGTTTATTTAATTTATGTCTTTTCATTTCCAAGTGATAGGAGTATTATATAGCTTTGTTCTTTTTTTTTTGACTAATGATCGTAAGATTTGTAACTTTAATACTAGATGCGATGGTTGTAATTAGGTTGAGCTTAAAACTATTTTAATTTTTTGTCTCATTTCTTTAGTAAACAAATGTAGCTGTTTAAGTTTATATTCACGCGGACATTATTTAGCTATGATTTTGTACGTGACCCGTTATCTAGTTGGTATTGTTGATCGAAGATGTTAGCTATTGGACCGCGTCTTTGCTGGATCACGTCATGTAAAAGTCAAATATTATGAGGAGAAGTTCGCCGGTTACATACGTCTAACCACCTTGTTTAAGTGTGTTAAAAAAGGTAAACAGCTGTTAAATAGGTTGATAAAGAAGAAAATACGATGGAAAGGTAAGTTATGTTAAATTTCTATGAATAATATTAAAGGTGTACCTTATTTTTTTGTAATTTTTGGCCTTTTTTTTCAAACCTACTCTGTGTCGAACTATGAGCATGATTTTTATTTAGTTTAATTTTTATTAAAACACGTCTAACTCATTAATTTAATATTATGAACTAGTCGCCCACTTAATGAATTTAGCTTATATTTAGTGTGAAACATGTATTAATACTTAAAAAGTAATAAATAGATGTACTTTACTTTCAAACCGGGAATCGGGTATAGTATGGATATCCCCTGCGAGTTAGAATTTTTCAGTAGACTTCACAAAGAAGTAGGTAGTAATACGACTGATTTTTTACATGTTTGTTATCCCATTTTACTTCATTTACATTTACATACATTTTAATATTTGTTATTATTATTGAAACAATATTCTTCGCCCATCATCATCATCATCATCATTACAGCCCTTCACAAGTCCACTGCTGAACATAGGCCTCCCCCAAGTAACGCCACAAAGCACGGTCCTGAGCCACCTGCATCCATCGACTTCCCGCATGTCTTACCAGGTCGTCACTCCATCTAGTGGGGGGTCGCCCTACACTACGCCTACCGGTACGAGGCTGCCACTCGAGAACCTTTCTTCCCCATCGGTTATCGGTTCTTCGAGCTATATGGCCGGCCCATTGCCACTTCAGCTTACTAATCCGTTGGGCTATGTCGGTCACTCTGGTTCTACTGCGGATATCCTCATTTCTGAGTCTATCACGCAGAGAAACTCCGAGCATAGCCCTCTCCATAGCTCTTATATTCTTCGCCCAATGGGATAAAATTAAAGTCAGTGTTGTATTTTTGAAAAATTATGTACGCTCATTTTTTAATTTCATGAATTTTTTTTTAATTTCTGTTTGGAATTTTTAATGCTATTTCCGTTTAGTGTTTTTATTTGCTTTGTTCTGTTTTGAGTGCTTTCTTGCTTTTTCGATGTATACGATCAACAACAAGAGGCTGACAGAGAAGAGGCGCCGGTGGACGCGGGGCACGCGGGGCCTCTGGTCCACGTACGCGTGGTGGGCGGCCTGGAGGACGTGGTGGCGGCTTACAAAGCCCTTCTTCTGACTCGTAATAGCGGCTTTTTATTAACACATAAATAATTATTATACAATCAGTATTATATATATATATATATATATATATATAATATCCAGTATATATATATATATATATATATATATATATATATTGGTATAGAGGTAATGATATGCGGCCCTGCTTCAGAACCAATCACACTGCCTGAGAGCCCCCCTACACCTGCCACACTGTACGCTCTGGTCCCCCTTCACCCGCTTTGTAATTATTTCCAATTGTATGTATTTTACATAACAATTTTCTGTTAAACTAAATTAAACATAAAAACAATTGCAGGCACATTGAATGTGGCAGTAGCGGGGCCTCTACGCCACATTCAATCGTAATCGGTGCAGCAAAACGACCCAGGTTAGTTTTAGTATTGTAATTTTAGAAGTAGTATTAGTAAAAAAGAAACTAAAATTGGCATAAACTAAAAGAAAATGGGCTACTATATGGGCTTAACGTATTAACATTATTTTTATTGACTTTACTATTTATATATTCAGAAATACTGAGGCCCCCCTGTTGAATCACAAAAGCGGCAGTGCTCATGAGTACACGTAAAAATAAATACGTATTAAGATCAAATTGATCTCAATTTTAAAATTTGATCTATATATTTTTACAGAATTTCATCTTCGTCATCCCATCGCCCAAGACAGACTCTTAGGGATGATGATATAAGCACAATACTAAACTATGGTACCTAAAATTTTTATTATTACATCTTGTGACGGAATTCTATCAATAATTTTAATGATGTAGTAATTAAGATGTTTTTGTTCAGGCAATGAAGAGGACTCTGAGGACGAGGGGGAGAACAATAACTTTATCACAACGCCAATGGTGCCGAGAGCTACACGATTTTATGTTCAAGACGAGGACGATGATGTGGTTAAAACTGATGCGATACCGTCGTTTCAATGGCCACCTCAGTCACAGCAGCCGCAGCAGTTCTAGACCGTACTACCGATTTTTAAAATCCCCGATCCCAAAACCACAACCAATCCTGAGCCCACAACCGATTCCGAACCCACAACCGAGCCGGAACCCACAACTGAGTTACAACCGACATCAAAATTTGTGTTCAATTGGAGAGCGTTCTCGCAACCTCAAATTCCACCTGAGTTGAGAAGAGAAGCTTTCTCCGACAGTAATTGTGGTCCCACTGTTTCATTAGCGACCCCATATGAAGCACTTACTGCCGTTTGGAATCGGCAAATAATGGACCACATAGCTAGTGAAACAAATAAATATGCGCAACAGCTGGCAACGTACGTGCTGGAGGAAGGCTCCATACGCCCCAACAGCCGTATTACCATGTGGCAGCCCACCGACGTCGATGAACTATACGTGTATTTATATTAGGCTATAATTCTGGCCACTGGAATTGTAGTCAAATCACGTCTCGAGGAGTACTGGAATAAGACTGAGGAAATTTTCAGTACACCCAGGTTCTCGGCGTCGATGAAGTAATGATCGTTTTGTGCTGTTGAGCAAATGTCTCCATTTCCAAGACAATGATAGTTGTAACCCGGAATTGATGACGCATTCTGAGGCCAGATTGTTTAAAATTAAACCTGTACTGGACCACCTTAATCCAGATTCCCACAACTATATAACATGTCCCAAAATGTAGCTTTGGACGAGAATCTAATTATGTGGAAGGGCTGGTTAGACATAAACCAGTTTATAAAAAATAAGGCTGTTTCAGTAGGAATAAAAACCTACGAAGTATGTGAATCCCAGACTGGTTAATTGTGGCGTTTCGAAGTCCACGCAGGGCAAGATGATTCCTCGACTCCACAAGAAGGTCCAATTTCTGGAATTATCCCCTCCTTAGTGATCAGGCTTTTAAATAGTCTTGAGCATAAAGGCCATACTATCTGGATGGATAATTTTTACAATTCCCCAGCCCTTGCGCGAGAGTTGAAATTTCGGGGCTTTGACTGCGTGGGAACGCTTCGAACAAATCGCCAGTTTGTTCCCTCAGAAATCACAAACTTAAAAAAGTGACATGTCGATTGGTCAATTGTGTGGCTGTACCTCGCAGGATGTGGATATCGTGGTATGGAGAGAACCGTGTAGCTCTTATTTCGACATACCATGGTTTAGCATCTGTTAGGTGTGGTGACACTCTAAAGCCCTCGATCATATCGGATTATAATATCTGTATGGGAGGGGTTGACCGAAAGGATCAAATGATCGCCATGTTCCCGATTGAACGAAAGTGTACTCGAGTGTGGTATAAAAAAATTTCAGACGCCTATTGAATGTGAATGTTCTAAACGCTTACACATTACTGAAATCACCCAAATTACCCACCGAAATTTTCGTAAAATTTTGGTGGGTCAATTGATAGCACATCACACGACTGCACCAAATAGTTGTGGCTCCTTCAGTTTTAGGGGAGCATTTTCCAGCACAATACGAGTTTGTTGCCGGCAAACAACATGAGCGGTTGCGACGTTTGTGCGCCGTGTGTAAAAAACGAACAACCGCTTATTGCAAAGCGTGCAATGTCCTCCTATGTGTATTTACCTGCTTTGAGCCACACCACTCACTACAGTAAAACTATACAGAAACACTATCCTAAAACGCAGAAAAGTTATTTTATAATATTTCATACAACAAAAAATAAAGAGTCGTATCCATATTTTTCTGACCTCAATGTGACTAAAGTGGTTGTTTTTTTTACAATTTTTATCAACATTGTTCTTAAAATATTTCTAGGAAGCAAACTTATTTTCTGTTTGAATTTGATACCTCGTTCTATCTAAATCTTGGTAAATATAACACTCTTTTGATAGTATGTAAACTACTAAAACTAAAACCAAAGAAAAGAGTTTTAAATGAGCACTGTGTTTTCTGCCCATTTTAAGTACCATATTTGTTCAGCTCTTACTCAAGTTATATTAATCTTAGAACTATGTTGCTATTTTAACTTTTAGCTGATATGCTCAACTTACTGTAAACATAAAATGTTTGACCCTTAAACAAAGAGTCTTTTCAAACCATTGAGAAATATGAAGGCCAATTAAAATACCAAACAGAGTGGTTGATTTTAGTGGCTTTTATTAAAACAAGTGGTGTGTAAAAAAATGTATGATGACTTGTGAAGTTTGTATTATTTTTTTTGTTTTAAATATCTTATTTTATTAATAAAATAACATATAAAACCTATTAATTGTTTTATTTGTACAATAAATAATAAAAATCATCACATTTCGAGGAACCTACACTATGGGCTATATTTAACCGTGCAATTTAATACTAATGGTAAAAAAATTGAATACAATTTGTAGAATTGTTGTCTTAGAGTCGTAATTTACTAATAAATATCCATAATTCTAATTATAATTAGAGATATTCCAATTGGAATGAAATAATTGCCCTCCACAAGTCCACAAGCGATTGCACACATCTGACAAATGCGGCTTTTGGCAGTACACAGTTGTAAGGGTAAGATAATCCACGAAGTTGCTCAGAGAAGCTGCCGACAGGCAGTTATTAATTACAGTCTACCTAGCGCTTTTTCAGCCTATCCTAACGTACTGCATAGCGGATTGGGGCAGTTTTTTATCCTATAACTTAATACCCTTGGAAAGGGCTTAAAGAGCGGTATTGAGATTGATTCTTCGAAAACGTTTTCGCTACCCCAAGGCATTATTATTCGAAGAACCGCTGATCCTCGGTCCGATAAAACTGTTCATTCTTAAAATAGCACTCAATACGCACATACAAGCTCTGAGCTCACTCCAATATCGCGACACGTTAAAAAACAAACTTATACTTGCGACAATTCAATTAGACCGATTTGACAGCTATAAAAGACTTTGTGTAATTATGGTAAAAAATCGATTGCTTTGAAAACCGATTCTCGAGACGTATCGATTACGTAATCTACAATTTATGTACATTGTTTAAAATTGATTTCGAGGCATTTTATTACTCATACGAGTTTGTGATATTTAACAGTTACATAAATCCAAACTAAGTTTAAATTTGGGCGAGAACCAAAGCCAAAAGATAAACTAAAACCCGATATACTGATTTCTTAGGGAATGTTTACGTATAATAATACAATGTATATTATGTACCAGTGGCGTACCTAGAGAAAAGCTCTAGCATGCCACTGATATGCTGATATGGGTCGCTAGTCTAATAAAATTAACAATAAAAAAGTGTGCTTGGGTGAGATAAACAAATAAATTCACTGAATTAGTAACATTTTTATTCACTTTCGTCACTGGATGATCGAGAAAAATTATCATCATTTTGAACTGTCTTCGTCGGTTAACCTTACAATAAATTCATTTTAATTGTCAAAATGTACGTCTCTTCTAAAGTGGTCCGTTATAATTTTCTTTGTATTTTCTACTACATTGATCCAATCATTTTTGTGACGTTTGCACATGCTTCTTTAAATAGACCAAGCTTTTTTTTGTGGTAGATGGAGGTTTTGTATTTTGACGTGCAGCATAGTCTGTGTAAAAGAGGTAAAGTTATAATGTCTAAATTATTTATTTCCTTGTGCAGACAAACGGCTACATGGGATCTAATAAATATCCCATTCAATTTACTATGACAATACGAGAGCAGTTAGCCGAAAAATACCTATTAATATTATAATGTTCCTAGTTCTTTTTCTATAAATACGTGTGAAAGATTCCTTCTTTTAACATTTTTTTAGATTAATATATATATATTCATAACATGAATTTATTGAAAGCAGAACTGCTACTGCCTTCAATAAATTCATGTCAGCATCCACACTATGATTTTGTAGCCATGCCACTAAATCCACCTTGTCTAGGAGGTTTACCTAGTTGGATAGAGTGATAGAGAGTATTGTCCATAATTATTGTACACTCTTCTGGAAGGACTCTTTAAATTTTTCGGCATTTATTTCTTCGTGGTACGTTCCTGTACTTTTTGATTCAAATGCCAACAAACAATTTTTTATAAAACTTTCCCCGGCAGACAAATGATGAGGCGTCCACCCTTTCCAATTGGAACTTTTGCGCTGGATGCTTGCGTATCATCCATCCAAGACTGTGTCATAGTTTGACTAGCATTTAACCATATCTCATTATTAAATATTACTTTATCCCCGTTCGTTATTTTATTAACTTCTCTTTAGAATGATTCATTGAAAGTTTTCCGTTTTTCGTTTTTTTGTATGAAAACCAAATATTTTTGAAATTCGTTTTAATAGATTACACTACCATCATATAATTGTGGGGTATTCTTGTCTTGTGTGGTAGCCGTAAACATGGAATCTAATAGCATCAACATCAAAACTATCGATACCTGTCACAGGTATTTTTTTTTCGATTGTTGGGTGTGTGCAGTACAATATCTTCACAGTCAGAAGGCTCGTACTTTTCCTTTATATATTTCGAACTGTTTTATGCCAATTCCAAGAGTTTTGCGACTCCTTGTTGTACTTTGTAACTTCTAAAAGAGGCCCTCTATTTGCTGACTCTCGTTCAAAGTACTCGTGCAATTACAAAACCAAGTCACTGGTTGTTAAAAGTACGTTTTCTTTTATACATGTTGTCTAATTCACACGATAACATCAAATATCACGTAATGCGTAGTCAAAGTCCCTTTTGGTAAAATATACATAGACCGCCACAGGACAGTCTTGGCCTAGTGTGGGGTCAATAAAAAAATTAGATAATAAAGTAGGCCGTAACAATATTCTCATTGTAAATATATTATTTTATATTCATTTCATAAAATATATTACACTGATGAGATGCGCGAGTATGAGAGTATGGGAAAACCATAAAAGCTTCACTTTTTGCTTTTTTTAATGCCCTTTTTCTGTTCGAAACATAAATAATTCATGTTCTTGGAGATTTCAATAAATTAGAAAAATTAAAATGATTTACCTAACACCGTTTCATAATAAACTCGAGAAGAAACACCGCTGGTAATATTTTGCCTATATT